GGGTGGCAAGGAAGCGGCGCGTGCGCCTGCGCCGGCACGCCACCTCAACGGGGTGGCGGAAGGGGCGCCTCACCAGCACGCCCCTGCTGGCGCCGTAGTCCCCGCCGCCGCCGCCGCCGCCGCCGCCGCCGCCGCTGCCGCTGTACCCGTCTTCCTGGAACCGCTTCGGCGGGCGCTCCTCCTCCTCGCTGACCCCGCCCGCGGCGGCGCGGCCCCCGCCGCCGTACCCGCCGTCCCCGTCGCCCCCGCCCCGGCCGCGGCCGCGGCCGCCGCCGCCGTACTTCTGTTTGTAATACCAGCCGCGTCCGCCGCCGCGGCCCCTGTCGGACATGGCTGTACCTCCGAAGGTGTTGGGTGCCTGGTCAGGCGTCGGGCCCCACCGCAGGGGCGTGTCGTTGTGCAACGGCGCAGCGGATGTGCGCAGGCTGCGGTGTGTGCGCACAGGCCGGGTAGAGGGTGCGCACGGGCACGATTTGGAGGAAGGAAGGGCGCGCTGATGTGCATAAGCGGCCGCGGCCGAGACGGCCGCAGCAGCGGCAGTAAGCGTCACTGCTCCGTGCTGCAGAGGTGCGATTAGGCTCGTGGCTGCTATACGGGTGAGCGCCATGTGATCAGCACCATGCTGGTTGTGCGTTTGGTCAGTCGCTTGACGCTTTAGTGTACTAGCACCAAACCTTGGTGTCGAGATCTGCGGCACCAGGTGCTTTCTTGTACCTCGTTATGTGAGTAGCAAGGACACCCACCAATAACGTCATATTCAATTATCATACGATTGATCGCCCAGCCTTTGTGATAACAAGATCACGCAGCAAATCTGAATAGCAGCAATAGTGCGTTGTTCTCCATCCAGGCTCTCCCACAATAGAATATAGCACTCAAAGTTTGGTTACGCTGAACTGTAGCACAGCCAGTGCGCATCGGAGCATTTCACAACATTGACGACCAGCGGCGGCATAGCGCGTGCAGCGCTCACCGCTGCCCCAGGGCCCCTCCGCCGCGCCCGCCGCCCGCGGGGCGCATATGTCTGCGGGCGCAGGCGGCCTCGCCCCCGTCGACGGCGCGCCCCCGCAGCAGCTGCCCCCCTACATCATAGCCGGCGCGGCGCCGGCGAAGCGCGTCAGGCTGATCCACCCCACCGGCGCTGAGGAGCATGCAGACGACAACCCCTGGCTCCACATGCGGCTGCAGGGCGATGCAGATCAACAGGTGACCTCCGGCGATCTGAGGCGATCTGGAGTGATCCCAAAACCATCACCCAGCAGTGTTGCGGGCCCCCAGGTTGCGCGCTTTTACGGGAACCACGTTGTTGCAGCAACCAGGCGACCGCACGGCATGCATCTGTAGTTGTAGCCTAGTGTCCCCGCGCCTGGACTGCCGTGCCCGCTTTGTCGCAGCTGGAAGAGGCGGCGGCCGCCGGGGCGGCGGCGGGTGAAGAGGATGACGGCGAGCCAATGAGGCCGGAGGAGGTCATAGAGGCGTTTGCATGTGCTAGGGTGAGGGCTGGGCGGCACGACCTGCTTTTCCGCGTACATGCAGGCACGCATGCATACCTGCATTTGCGCATGTGCAAATGCGTGCATGCATGCATGCATGGGTGCATGAGCGCACGCGTGCGCGCTATGCTTGGGGGCCATCCCAGGATCCTCTGGGATTTGCGGCGGTGTGTGTGTGTGTGTGTCCAGCAGGCCTGCACAACCCTTTTTTGAGGCATGTGATCCGCAGCAGCTGCGGAGGGCCCCAGGGTCAGGCTGCGATGCCGACCCCAAACCACCCCGCGACAAGGGGGCGCTGCGGCGGCGCCTGGCCCCGGTGCCGCGCCCCGAGCCTGCAGCTGGAGATGCCTGGAGGCGTTGCGGCACCGGCACCGCCCAGCATGCACGCCTCCTCTCCGTTTCGCTCGAATCACGACGCCATGGATCTTGCCTTGCAATTCTTGTTGATGCTGAGACGCCGCGATGCACCATGCGCAACCACCGCCGCCAGGGCGAGCTGGACTGGCTGCTGGCGCTGCTGACGCGCCTCAAGGAGGGGCGCCACCTGGCGGTCGCGCGCGCCGACAGGGGCCCGGCGCAGCGCGTCGCTGACATGGCGGCCGACAAGGGCACGCGGTGGGCTGGGCGGGCGGAGAGGCCGAGGGGGAAAAGGGGAAGGGCGCGAATCCCACCTTTCTTGGAGGGTTGATGTCATTAGGCGGCGCTGCTGCTGTGCAGCAATCTGGATCAGCAGCTGCTGCGCCTGCGAGGCGGCTGGCGCGCAGAACTTTGGCCTACTGAGCGGCGCACGGGATGAAAGGGATCCCCACCGCTGCCGCCGCCGCGGCCGCCCACGTACAGGGTGTCCCGCCGCTGCAGCGCGCTGCGCGGCGCGTCCGCGGCGCTGACGGAGGGCGCGGCGGCGCTCGCGGCGGCGGGCGCGCAGGAGGACGCATTCTATGGGCAGCTGGCGCGGCTGCAGCGCTTCTGGCTGGTGCGGCGCGAGCGGAGGTCGCACGGCTTGGGCTTGCGACCCCACGTTCCCTGGCTGCCGCGGCAGTGTTGTTGTTGTTGTGTTCCGCAAAATGAAGCCCTGAAGTGCTCGGAGGAGGCGGCCGGCCGCGCCAGCCTTCCTCGTCCTGTGAGCCAGGACGAGACGCCTCCAGCGCCGAGACACGCGCGAGCTCGCAATATTGAAGGCTCCTCTGCCGCCCCGCCCGCGCCCCACGCAGCTCCGCATGCCGCCGGCGGACACGCCCTACTCCTTTTTGGTCAGCCTCGGCCTGGGCAGGGACGGCACCCCGACCCCCACATCCCAGCCCGCCGCCGCCGCCCCGGCCGCGGCCGCGGCTGCCTCCGCGAATGCGCCGGGCGCGCCCGCGGCGGCGGCGGCGGGCGTGGACGAGGAGGAGGAGGGGGAGGGGGTGGTGCCGCTGCTCAAGGACCCGAACGGGCGTGTGCGCGTCCAGGTCAGCGCGCCGCGGCGGCGGGACGAGGCGCCGAGCGTCGCGGCCAAGAGGCGGGCAGGTGCGGCCCTGAGGCCCCGGGGGCGGGGGGCTGCTTCGGGCTGCTCGCGGCCGGACCGGCCGGCCGGGCCGCCACTGGGGAACACTTTGAGGTGCGGCAGCGCTTTGCGCGGACCGCTGCCCCAGCTGCGCCCCCGCGTCGGCCCCACCACGGGCGCCGTCCGCTGCCCTTTCGCACCCTTCCTCACATGAATCAACAACCGATCTACCCACGCTGTTCCCGCCGCGCCGGACGAGCGCAGGGCCGCCTGCGGTTTACGCGGGCGCCCCCGCCGTGCATGCGCTACTGCTGCGCCGGCAGCAGCGGCTGATGTGGCGCACGGCCCTGGAGCTGCTGGAGTCTGAGCTGTCAAGCCTTGTGTCCGGCCGCCTGCAAGTTGCGCTTCAAGCAGCGGCCGGCGGCAGCGGTAGCGGCAGCGGCGCCGGCAGCGCGGCCGCGGC